GGGTTCAGGCTTTAGGGCTTCAGGTTCTGAGGATTGAAGCTGTGGGGTTTGGGGGGCCATGCGCCGGAACCTGCAGCGAACAGAAGCACCGTGCCTATTGCCGGGCTTGCTCATTTCTGTGCGGCATTCCGCGACCTCAGCAGCTCGAAGCCCCTGTTTAGGGTTTAGGGCTTTAGGTTTTAGGGTCTAGGGTTTTTGGGCTTAGGGTTTAGCTAAGCTTCGTGTACAATGGCAAAGACTAGGATGCAAACCCAGCCTGAATCCCAAGCCCCAAACTCATGTGTACCTATACAGATTTTAAACTTGGTGACCTTACAAGCAGATCGTCGGCTTGAAAAGACATGAACCCGAAGGCACAAGGCGTCTGGACTAACATGCCCAATAGAGAAACATGCTTGTGGGAATCTAGACTTCCGGGTTTAGGGTTTAGGGTTCAGGGTTTAGGGTGTAACTACGACAAACCTTGTTTACGGTTTGGGTAGTCTCCCGACTCTTGCGTGCGGCTTAAGGCTTCGGATATGTGCAGCAGGTTGCAATGTATATACTGTCCGACGTATCCCGAAACTTCCCTTCCCTTATATGCCATAAACTCGAAACCTGACACTCTAAGTCGTATTTGTCCAGATTCTACGGGCACAAAATGTGAACCTTCGGAGATATGTGGAGATTTAAATACCCCAAACAGGCTCAAGGTTACTTGCTGTTACTGTACCTGATTTGTTTTGATTTTTTAGGCATGCCTAAAAATCAAAACAAATCTCACGACACTGAAAGCACCGGAGAGGTTGCTGGCCAGCTCGCAGCATCTTAGAGCCTGGGGGCTTAGGGACTTTTTAAGGCTCCAGGGCTGAAGGATACGGTTGATGATATAAATCCTGCATTACCCAGAATAAGGAATATACCATAATTCCCATAGCTTAGGGTCCTTGAGGGAATGCAGGATCTGTATCATCAACAGTCCCATCACGCCCAAACCACAAACATGCACACCACGCATCCTGAACCCCGAAGCCCTTAACGACAAAGGCAACGCCCTGAACCCTGAACTCTAAGCCTGAACCACCTCCCAGCAACATGCAAAGACACCATGAACCTCAGAAATGGATCTGCTTAGTAGCTGACGGGGGAGCAGGGTTCAGGGTTTTCACGGTTTAGGGTTACATAAGCGACTAAAACTGCAACAAAAATACACGAATGCATCACGCACAAAACCCTGAATCCTTGACTCCAGACCCCGTCCCTAACCACGATCTGGACCTGGGTTAGTGTAGTATAGTGTATAATATAGTATACTATAGTATAGTATAGACTAGTATGGTATGTATGGTATACTATAGCATAGCATAGCAGAGCACAGCATGGCATAGTTATAGTTTAGTACAGTAGAGTAAAGTAGAGTAAAGTAGAGTAAAGTAGAATAGTGTGGGTATAGTATAGTCTAGTCTAGTATGGTATGGTATATCATAGTATAGTACAGTATAGTATAGTATAGTATAGTATAGTATAGTATAGTATAGTATAGTATAGTATAGTATAGTATAGTATAGTATAGCACAGTACAGTGCAGTATTGCACAACCCTGAACCCTAAACCCTGCGCGACATACTCCCAAACCCTAATGTATTGCCCTGAATCCCTCAACCTTCGAATCCGCCTAAGCCTTAAACCCTAGACCCCGGAAACCCCCCGGTTTAAGGAACTACTGTACGTAGACCCCTAGGGGTTTAGGGTTTAGGGCTTATAAGGCTCTAAGGACTCATCCTGTATGGCTCTTGGGCTATGTAAAAGGCTTTTGGGCTATGTTGAACCTTGGGGAAAGAAACCATAATAAGGGAATCCTCAAAAAAATGTTAGCTTTTTGCGGCTCAAGCAGAACCTGAGTCCCACATAGTAGGATCCTTAGGACATGGACCCCAAACCCAAACCCTGAACCCGAAACACCAAACCCTATAGCCGTAAACCCTTAGGAATAATGAACCCTAAACCCTAATCCCTAAACCGCAAAAACTAAACTAAACGCTAAACCCTTAAGCACGGGCCCTTCAAAAGGGACCCTAGTCGAAGAAACCCACCACTGTCACTTGAACTGAGCACCGGGACGATAGATTCCCGGGTGACGCCCGAAACATCACCCATGACAAAAGGACGCTCTGTGGCACCGTCCTGAGCAAGGCTTTCTGCGGATTCAGAGCCAGGCCGGCTTCTGGGCTTTCAAGGTTTAGGGTTTAGGGCTTAGGGTTTAGGGTTTAGGGTTTAGGGATTCATCTGCCTTGTCGGCTTGTGCGCATGATTTACAGGGCCTCGGAAGGGCTTACGAAAGTTTGCACGGTGATTGAAGGGCGATGCTGGTTTGCTGAAGCTCTGGAAGCGTGCTATAAGAATTCGTTTTCTACAACTTCCTGAAGCGGAGGAACAGTGGGAGAAGTACTTGTAGTAGTTATAGTGGTAATATGGCACCACTATTACGACTTACTACTACTACTACTACTACTACTACTACTACTACTGCTACTACTACTACCACCACCACCACCACCACAGCCACCACCACCACCACCACCACCACCACCACCACCACCACTACCACCACCGTTCCTGCTGCTCCTGTTGAACATGTTACAGCTGATGATCATACAACTATCGTCGTAGCAGCGGAAAC